TTCTTCCAAGGTTTTTTATGGGGCTTCCAAGAGAAAAATTATTAAGTTAAAAAATAAAAGCAAGGTGCAGGAAGTGCCATTTAAATCGCCCATCTGCAGCCCGGCCGGGGGTGGGTTCAAGTTGTCGACCTATGAAACCAGGAGGTCACCGGGTTGGAATTCCCCAGTCGGGGCACATGCCCAGGTTTGAGGGGCTCGATCCCCTCAAGTGTGGGCCCGTGCGGGAGGCAGCCGATCAATGGTTCTCTCTCCTCAATGATGTTTCTCCCTCCTCCTTCCTCTGAAACCAAGTAAAATAAAATAGAATCATATGCCTTCTGCACAAGAAGGGTGAAAACCCTGCGGCCCACCCCTGGGCGGCTCGCAGAGGAGAAAACACCAATGGCTTCCTGGGGGCGACCGAGCTGAGAAAAAGAGACTTTTCCCTACAATTTCCTTGCTGCCTTCTGAGCTCAAAAACATAAAAAACACCAAAGAAAAAGACCCTACAAACCAAACTACCGCTTGCTGGCGGGGGACTCACTCGGAGCAAACATGCCCTCGGTGAGAAGGCCCACAGCCCGCGGGGCCGCGTCCTCCATGCTCGCCGCTCACCGCTCACCCAGGAGCCCCGCCCCCAGGCTGTGCACCGAAGGGACCAGCCAGGAGGAGGGAGGGGACCCATGCATGAGCCCTGAAGGCTCGCCGGCCAGGACGCCTCTGCTTACGTGCTGATAAAAGCTGGGGGTCAGGGGGCAAACCCAAAGAGACGCCCAGGTGACCGACTGCTGTGCCTGCAGCCCCCGCCCCCTGCCCCCGGCACCGGAGCAGCGGGAAGCAGCGAGGCCTGGAAAGCAGCTCGTCGCCGAGAGCGCCCGCGGCCCAGGGCAGGGCTGCCACTCTCCATGGCACCAGTCACCCTCGGGAGACAGAGGCTGACTCCGAAAAACTTCAAGGAGAGCCAAGGAAACCGGCTCCCGTGCAGCCCTCACTCACTTCTCTGCCTGGACTTGGGGCGGCACCCGATGGGGGACACCCGTGGTCGGTGTGTGGACACCCCGGGCCCACCCCGCGCACGTACCCGGCCCCCGTAGAGGATGGAGGGCGGCTGCAGGACCCGGCCAGTCACGTCCGTCATCTCGTCTTTGACCATGATTCCAAATTCCCGGACGTAGGGGTCGGTGTTGAAACTCGCACTTCTCATCTTGGAAAGCGGAGAACAGCAGAGTCAGGGGTGTCTGCTGCTCCCAGAGCCGTGTCTGTCCCCGCCCGGCCGCCCCCAGGACGGGACACTCACCAGCTTGCTAATCTCCTCTTGCCGATCGGGCGCCGACCTGGCCGTCGCTCTGATCATGGTTGAGGTCTGATTGTCGGTCAACTTCTTTATACATCTCTGTCCTGCCACGATGTTACAGACCTGCAGAGGCACAGACGCGGCGTCAGCGCAGGGCTGGGGGGCCCCGGGACACGGGGGGCAGGGCTGACAGCAGGACTAAACCCCGCTGGTGACAAGGCACCACCCCGTGGGTGCTGTCCCGGCGCTGGGCTGTGGCCTCCGTCCGCACAGGGAAACAGCTGCCCGCCACGGAAGTCCACCTCCGGGCCACGGCGGGTGAAGCTGAGCCATGGCCTTCGATGGGGGGTGGGGGTGGGGGGTACACAAGGACCGAGAGTGTAAACCACCGACAGAAAAGCGCCAGGACCGGGCGCCCCCGGGGGCCCTCTTCCCAGGCAGGGCATTTTCGAACAACCAGTGAGAAAGTTCATTCTCGGAGCTCGTTCCGCCCGGCGCCAGGGACCTGCCGGCGCGAGGCCCCAGCTCTCCTCGTCCACGCGAGCAGCTCCACACCCGTCTGATTCACGGGAAACGGAGGCGCGGCGAGGACCCGCAGGGGACACGCGGGGGGCGGGGGGGCGGGGCTTGCCTCGAGAGGAAGGTAGGTGTGTTTCTGCTCCTGCCCGACTTGTAAACATGGGAGGTGGGGGTAGCGCAGGACCAGCTTGTGCCGGTCCTTGAAGTACTGGGCCACCGTGCACTCCACCGTCTGCCCGCTCTCCTGCTGCAGCGGGAACCTAGGGGACAAAGAGGGGCCCGTGGGGATGGCGGCGGCGGAGGCCTCCCCCACGCCCGCCTGCCTGGGGCTGCACCCCTCAGGGCGATGCTTGGGGCACACAGCCAAGGCCCCGCCCAGGGGCCAACAACACACCCGCCCC